TACCAAGAAGAGGAATGACCCATTAGTAGTGAGAGTGAGCAAGGGGAGTTTGAGATTGGAGTGAACCTTGTTCAAGAGGAGGGAAATGGCTCTCCAAGTGAAGAAGGAAGTGATGAGACTGAGAGTGAAGAGGAAGGAGAAGAGGTGAATCAGTTGGTTGAAGAGAGTGAGCAAGAGAGTAACCAAGATGAACCTATGGAGGAGGTTGAGCCACAAGAGAGCCACAAGAGGAGGAGAAGAACTCCCTATGTACCAAGAGCACTACAATGCCCTCTTCTCCATGGACTTTCATGGAGACCAAGTACCCACATGTTGACACAATGAAGGCCCTTGGAATCTTTGAAGATGTGGAGCTAGTTCTCAAGAACATGCACTTGGCCAAGCTCTTCTCTTATCACATGGAATCCTACAAGGAGCTCACTTGCGAGTTCTTAGCTTCAATGAGGTACCACATGTATGAAGAGGAAGATAGAGCTGATTTGGACCAAGGATTGGGATGGATCACGTTCTTGGCTAAGGGAGAGAAGAGAATGGTGACCTTTAGGCAGTTGGAGATCTTGTTTGGGTTCAACTATGGAGAAGGTACCAAGTGGAACTTCAAGGAGAAGGAACTCCAAAGGGTTTGGGCTACAATCGCTGATGGAGTGTACTCTTCCTCAAGGTCCAAGGCAGCTCAAGATCAGGAGCCCAGTTGAGATATGTGCACAAGGCACTTGCCAACACCTTCTTTGCAAGGAAGGCAACCGGGACAATCAACGAGGGGGAACTCAAGTTTCTTGACATGGGAATCAAGCCCATTCTCTCACGCACAAGCGATGGCAAGAGGATCAGGGGAGATAGATCTGACACAGGGAACTGATGCCTTTCCTTGACCATCTCCTCACCTACAAGATCACAGCCTACAACACTAGACATCAACGAGGGAGGCGCTAAGTGTTGGAGGGCTCATCACACCTATCTTGTGTGCTGCTGGAGTGAACCCAACTGATAGAAGCCACTGAACCAGGTTGGATGGACATCAAGTTTTGCAAGACCAACCTCCTCATTGAGCACAAGGAGTTGGATGGGAGTTCCAATTCAAGTTCACACATCCATTGGTTGGCCCTCCAAGCTTCTCCTGCCCTAACCCAGAGCTCACCACAGGGGTGAGAACATTGACTTCAGACCCCCTGTGTACACATTAGTTGGGCATGAGGATGATTTGCGAGAAGAGGAGCCTGAGCTCGATCGAGCTGAGGATCGAGCTGAGTCGAGCTGAGGATCAGTCCAGGAGAGTGCGGATTTGGGTGAGCCTGAGTGCTATTACTTTGAGGAGTATGAGGCTCCAAGGATGAACCCCTCTGTTGTGGCTGCCCACAAGAGGATTGGACTTCTCCAAAAGTTCAACAAATGGCAAGGGAAAGCCATTGAAAGATGCAAAAGTCCATGGACAAGATGGTGAGCAAGATCAAAAGTTTGGAGAAGAAGGTTTCTGGTTCTTCAAGCAAGAAGAAGAAGGCCCATGGCCACATTCCCTAGGAGTAGATCACTCCTCACCACTCCAAGGAGGCTCCCTGCCCAAGAGCCTCACAGAGCCTCTTCTTTCGAGCCAAGGGAAGGGAGAAGACAACACGCAGAGAAGGAGGAAGAGCTTCCAAGGCCAGACGCTCCAGCTCGACCACCGGACTCGATCGAGTCCAAACAGAGGAAACTCAACTCGATCGAGCTGACGGTCGAGTTGACCTGGAGGAGCCCCAGTTTGAGAATCCGGGATTTGAGTACGATCCAACGCCTTACCAGGAGACCCTCAGAGTAGATGGACCCCTATACAGCTTCGAGCTAGCCATGCTCCACCAAGGCCAAGGAAGCCACACACACTTCAAGATGAAGAAGAGGAGAAGAGGAGCCGCAAGCTCGATCGAGTGAGGCGAACCCAGTCGAGTGGAGTGCTCCTGATGGCCGTCTCCCATCTCCAGACCACGACCTGCCTCCCAGTTCTTTGGGGGGCACTGAGGTATCCAAACACAACCCTTGTAATACCATTTCATATTTTCTTGCTTTGTTTTTTTTTTCTTGGTTTTGCCCTCTTGAATCTTTCACTAAATTTTCTCACACAAGGGACTGTGTGATTTAAGTTTGGGGGAGGGTTCAAGAGATGATTTAACCTTGTTTTCTTTGTTCTTAGTTTTTCATTTATCTTTTGCATAGAAAAACCAAAAAAATCATAAAATTTTCAAAAAATCCAAAAATATTTTCATCTTTTTGCATTCATATTTGTTAGACTTGTTTAGGATTGCATTTTCACTTGCATTGTTGATTTGACTTTGAAAACTTGTCCATCTTTTGCGATTTCTTGAGTGCCCTGTTTTTAGATTCTTTTGTGCATTAGGGTGAGATTGATTGAGCAGCAAGAACCATGTTTATCTTGATCATATCACTGCATGCACATCTCATTCAACCATTGCTGTGATTTGATGCATTTCCCTATCTATTTGAACCATAACTTGATCTTTAATTACCAATGCTTGCATTTGATTTCAACTCATGGCTACCACATACATATCTGGACATTCTTTACCATTTTCATATCCCTCTTGCTTGTCCAGATAGCTGATCTCTATCTTTGAGACAGTTACCACACCTTAAACCTAAGCCTTTTCATTTCAAACCCCATTATCTCTTGTGCGAATGTGAGAACCTTTCTTGGCTTTGCTTAGCATAAGGTGTTGTGTTTAAACCGGCAGGGGCAGTAGTTCTAGTTGTCTAGTTCTCTTGGGATTGTTTTCAGGCTAAGTTTGGGGGTGCCAACTCGAGCTCGATCGAGTTGGGTGTAAAAACCAGAAAAGTGGTAAAAGTTGGGAAAAACCAAAGGAAAAAGAGTTTAGTTAAGTCCAGGGAGTTGGCAGTGTTTAAAAAGGGTCTAGTAAAGGTTTGGGAAGTTAAAAAAGGAAGTAAAAAGGGTTCTAAGTAGAATGAAAAGAAGGCAAAGCCTCAAGTGTCAAAAAGAAAGAAAAGTTCCCTAAGTGTTTAGAAAATCCCAAACCGCTAGATGTTACCTCAAGAAGCCTCTCCCTAGGAAGTTCTTAAAAGAAAAGTGAGCAAAGCTCCTCAGTTTCAAAGGCGAAATGCCAAAAAGGGTAGTTAGGATTTTGTTCTAAAAAGCTCTAAGTGTTGAACTCGATCGAGTTAGGATTAGGCGGCTCGAGCTGCTGTTCTTGCATCATCTTTGGTTCTAACACTTAGCCTTCTGCCAAAGCAAAGCCACTTTCTTGAGAGATCCCTGTTACTAAACCACCATACAAAAGAGACCCTCTTTGTCTCTTAACCCATAAACCCTTGAAACCAAATGAGTTGATTGATCTTGCATGTTTTTGGTTCACTGTTTTTGCTTAATGAATGTTAAAGGGATTTGCTGATTTGAATGCATTGTTTGAGTGACTGTGAAGTGGGATTGATGTTGATAAGCATGGTTAAATCTTAATGAATATCTCTCACCTTGTTGCATTCTAGAATCTCTAAGTTGGACATTTAGCAAATCGCTTTTGAGGACATGTTTTTAAGTGTTGAATCAGCTGTTTTCAAACCTCATCTCTTTCTTGTTCTATTTGTTTGCTTGAGGGCAAGCAAAGTTCAAGTTTGGGGGTGTTGATGTACTTGCATTTTACATAGTTTTAGCACATCTTTTATGCATCTTTTGCATAGTTTTAGCATCCATTTAGCATCATATCTTGTTCCTTTTCTCTTCTTATGCATTCATGTAGTTTTAGGTTGCATTTGCATACATATGCATGTTTGGTCCTTTGAAATAGGTCTTTTGGAGCATTCTGGAGCATATGGGACATGAGGAGCATGGAGGGACTTGGCACATGGACGCAGCTCAACTGGAAGAAGAAGGGAGGAAGCCATCTTGAAGACCAGCTCGACCACTACTCGACCAACCGGTCGAGTTCCTCAACTCGACCGGCCAAGCTTCAACTCGATCGAGCTGAGAAGTCAAAGTCAAACCCGAAAAATGTTGCTTCCCCCTTGACTTCCTTTGACCCTAAACCTAATCCTCTTGTATTTAAAGGCTCTAAGCCACGAAAAAACCACCAAGCTTTAGATTATTTTGTTTTAGTTTCTTTTAATTTATTGTCTTTTACTTTTTAGAGATCTAATCCCATCTTTGTGTTCTTGAAGCTCTTGCTTCTTGAATCCTAGATCCTGGATAATCTCTTTGTATTTGCACTTGCTTATTTCAATAAAAGTTGTTTATTTCATCTCCTCTTTCTTATGATGTCTCTTTTATTGCATTTGCTTGTGTTTACATTCATGTGTAGTGAGTAGTTACCCATTAGGGTTTGAGATGGGATAGATTAGAGGTTTCATATGCTTAATCCTTCTTGCTTATGGTCTTAATCTAGATTCTCTCTCTTTTGGATAATCTTAAGGCTACATGACCACTACCCCTGGCTTGTAGTCCTTAGGCGATTCTCCACATGGAAGTGATGGAAATCGCTGGAAAAGTCCACTAAGAGCTCCAATATCTCTTGCTCTAGAAATAGAGGTCTAAGGGGTTGGATGGATTAGTTTGGGCAATGATCCTATGGCCTCCAAGGTTTGATTCTCACTGGCTAACCCCCTGTTTCTGAGATCATTCCTTGGTTGATAGCTTTCACCTTGGGAAAGGGTTGGCTAGGCATTGAGAAGCCCAATATCAAGAGAAGCCTTGATACAAGGAGTTTTAAGAGCAAGATTGATTAAGTGTAGTTCCTTGATTGCAAAACCCTGTCTTGAACCCTAATTCTCTCTTTAGCTTGTTAAAGTCGCTGCCTTTATGCTTTTTCTCAACTCGACCCTAAACTCGATCGAGCTGGTACTCTGTTCCACTCGACTCGAGTCCTTGGTCGAGCTGTTGCTTTACTGCTTTATTTACTTTCTGCATTTCATTTCTTTCATTAGGTTGTTAGTGTTACCAAATCTTTACTGCTTGCTTGACTTTCTGTTGTTTCATATTCTCATAGAGTGACAAGTTTCCCATTTTGGATTGATAACCTCTTATACTACATGACTATGATGGTTAAGAGGAATTGATTGATTGTGATTGCACCATACCATCATCTTTATTCACCCTGTTTGCATTCCACCTCATATCTTATCACATCCACACAAAATCCTATCATCAACGGGTCCCTGCGAGTTCCCTTGTAATAAGTTCCTTGATCAGTTTCTGGCCATTTAGGATTGCATGTAAAAGTAATGAAAAGATCTGGAAATCCATGATGTCTACAAATGGCCATGGCGTCAAAATACAACTCCCTCATGTATCTTGGTCCACCAGTGAAACTCGCAGGTAGTAGAAATTTATTGCCTTGTTCCTCCATTTCAACAACACCTTGGTCTTCCGCTTGCTTGATAGAGTCGTAGCTATCAGACCTCAAACTTGTCTGGTTCAATCTCAAGTAGGATAATCTGTTAGACTCTATCATAGTGTAGGTATCAACCAGATACTGCTGGAACAATCTCCTAGAGTGTAGCAAGTGATTTGACTCGTTTGGTCTAACCATTAGACGATACGCAAAAAACTGTCTAACGCTGATGTTTTCCTTTTTCGTTTCTTAGAAGCTTCAACATTGGCTTTCTTAATTCCAAGTCGGAAACCATCTTCTCCATAAGAAAACCCCAGAGGATATTGCAGTGGTATGTAGGCAGGATGGATTTCGCTTATCCGCCGCAGCTTGCCTGATCGTTTCTGTAGAACTATATCCCGTCTTGTACCCATTTCTAAATTGAAATCTCCGGGAATAATTGCAGCAACCTCAGACACAGTTGGAACATTGTAAGTTCTACCATCTGTAACACGATCACTAATTATCCTCATATGAAAACTATCTTCAGGATCAGTGTTAAATCTTTCTCTTGCAGTCCTGAAATTCTTGACATAGGGGTTTACATCGTCGAGCATCTTTGTCAGCGCATCAATGATGTCCTTCCTGAGTCTATTCTTCTTATCTGGCTTGGATGCGTATTTCCCCTTACTGAAACGAAATTCCAAAACGGTAAATTGGTAATGACTTCTCAATTAATATGACAATAACATTAAACTAAATATATTACCTGAGAAAATTTAGTCTGTTGTCCAATTCATTTTCAGAATTAACTATGTACATCTGATAGAATTTTGCATAATCACCGGGGTTTGGAAGCATACTTCCAATTAGGTGGTAGTTTTCTCCGTGAAGGTGAAACATGTTTGGACCCTTTCCTTTCTTGATAGAATGATCAGTTTTACCTCCGAGAGACGTCATAGAGAACAACATGTTGTAGATTCTGATAAATTTTTGAAAGTGCCTGCTCATTTCATCATCTGAAAACAGCAATTTTTTAATAAGATCAGGAGGATCCTTTAGTAAGGGCAATATGACTTGGCCGTGCATAGAACAGAGGTTGAATGATGGATCCCCCATCTTCCTTCTTCTGTTTATGCGTTCTCCATACCAAAATTTAGCACCACAATGCACGCACGAGTAAGTCATGTCACCCTCGTCATTGTATACTGCACAACACAATGAACATACAAATCATGATTTACTATATCAAAGTTCGATGTTGCATCATACATAAAACGTTGTTGCTACTTAGCTTACCAATCTTATCGGGTACAGTTTTTTTTTTTCTTTTTTGCCATACTCACTCTCTTTCGTTTTTTCAGAGTTGGAGAAGGTTGAACAGTTTCTTGAGTAATCACACTCTCAGGAAGTGTTGGAACTATGTGTACGGTCGAAGGAGGTTCTTGTTCGGAGATATGCGTTTGTTGCAGATGTGATGGAGAAGGTTGGTATTTATCATTATCACCATCTTCTGTGTCTGTACTATCAGGGCTACTGCATTGGAAAATGTGTTCGTAATCCCCTTCATCGTCTGTTAATACAAATCACCATGATAAGTTAAAGATCTAGGCTCACGTTTACAATGTCAAAATCATAAAATAATTTATCACCTTCATCAGAGTTTAAAAGATCCGGATAGATATGTGGTTTTCTTCATCCAGGTTATCATCCGCAAGACCTCCAAATACATCATCGTGATCTGGCAAGTTTGAGATATCTTGCAGTACTCTCCTTCCACGTTGTCTCTTCCTCTTTTGTAAGTTCTGTACCCTTGAATCATTTTATGTTTGTCAAACAGATTCATAGTTAACTTCTTAATTCTTATTTAGAAAATCAATATACAGGATATATTCATTACATAAGAAATCGACGATGAGCATTACCTTGTGTAGAAAGCGTTGCCCCGACTGGTTTTCCATTCTTACCTTTAGGCTTTTTCTTCATCGGGATGGTAGTTCGTTTAGATGTGCCTTCAACATCATCAATTAGTTTTCTAAAAAGATATTTGAGTGGTATACATGCTTCACTCATTCTCGTTGCTGCATTTCGTTCATTGTTCACGTCCTTAGTTTTTTCATATGCTTCTCTTAGGTTGAACATTTGTTTTCGCAGTGCCTTTCGCAGCTGAACCTTTGTTTTCATTTTGATTTTTCAACTGACCATGAAAACCACAATACTCATCATGCTTCTACTTCATCAATTAGACAATAAAATAAAAAAAGGAGATGGGTGTCTCTTACCGGTTCTGAATTTGGATCTACATTTTCAGAATTACTTGAGAGAAATTTCCTCTTCCTCGTGACTGGAGGTTTAGTGTTCTTATAAGACTTGTCACTACGTTCGTTTTTATTACGCATCCTGACATAAACTGCATAAACAAAAAGGTTTAAGGTACGTAAACATCTAGAAAAAAAAATTTGGTCAAAGGAAAAACACAATACATGTTTGGCAATACCTGCTTATCTGCTAATGGATGTCCTGATTTCTTTTTGAAGCTTACACAGGGGATGTTTCACTAGAGGTCGTCTTTGTGAAAGAGGTAATATCTATCTAACTGAATTGCTCATTGCTATTTAGGTATTCCTTAGTCTAACATGTTCTAGTTCCAAATCTGAACCAATCTAAGATACTCCGGCGATCTCATTCGATAATTCAAAATCTTATAATTGGACATGGCGGCAAGCTTAAAATATTTTAATTGTTTGACTCCCGGTTTCACAAAACTTTTCAAATATATAAACATTCCCACCTACATAAACAACTAACTTAAAAAAATTACAAATCTTAAACGGAATCTTTAATCGTCCATTTACTTGTATTTTTATATGAAATATAATTTTGTTATATAATTAGAGCGTGTGATCTGTTGCAAATACATGTGGTATTGACACCATGTAGTATAGATCACAGTATTTAAAGAGTATTATGTGTTACATATGTTTCTAGGTTTATGAATATAAAGGTCAAAATGTTGTCGTGAACATTTGTAGATCAAATTACATAAAGGTATAACAATATAAATGTTAATTTAGTATATGACGTTTCAGAGCATGTAGTTAGCAGATATCATATACGTATCCTACTCATTGGCAAAGTCTCCATGTTGTATTTGTGTATTGATAGTTGATCAAGAAAAAAATAGCTAAGGAAGAAAATGTAACACAAAGAGCTCCATTAAGGTAAAAAAGTGCCACAAAAACAAATCAAATAAATAGAAAACCAACTGTCTAGCATAATAAAAACACATGGAGAACACAAGTTTGATCCTTATTGAAAACAATTAATTATTGGAGACTCTCTTCTGCATGCTACCCTTAACTTCGATTCTCACTCAATTGCTGGACCAGAAATGCTTCGCTTGGATTTGCGACGGAATGCTGGCTAATTAGTCCATCCGGATTGACCAGCTTTTTACTGGCTTTTGTCGGCAGTTGCTTGGAGCAATGCTTCTTCGAAGTGGAAGATCCGGCAGGGTCACTTTGCATTGATTCAAAACCACGCTTGGGTGATGGGGTTGAGCCATCATCTGAAATGCTTTGGTTGTTACTCTTGACAACCGACAACTAATACAAAGGTGAGGATGAAAAGATTAATCAAAGTTAATATTATGTTCATTTCAAAAGAAAACAAATGGGTTTAACGTGAATGTAAGACAACAGGGTGTGCTTACCTCCTCGCCAGAGGCAATGGTGGAACCATTATCAATGGCAGTGAATGGTCCATCGCCAGATTCCGTGTCGAGAATGAGAAGTCCTTTCTTTACTTTCTGCACCTTGTAGGTGTCATTTACATAGACAATGTGTTCCTTCTCGACACCGACCAGAAACTCGAAACTTTTTCCAACTGAACTCTTGACGTCATCGGGGATTAATTCTGGATCTTGAATCTGTTTCATAATCATAATAGATACGCATCTCGTTAAGACCTGATCTAGTTTTACAAGAAACCTATTATGCAGCTTCTGATAATGATATTACCTCATCGTATGATCCCTTTAGAAGGAAGGAAGATGTTTTCTCCACGATGCCATACGCAACGGAATCAAGCAGCATAACCTTTGTTTAGGCCGAGTCATCGGTGCAGCTTGAACCTGCATATGTATATATTCCATGTTATCACAATACTACTATTATCTCGTATACTGATGAACAAAAATATATGAAAACATTTTGGAACTACTCACTTTGCTTCCACAGTTTTGACATTTGATTTGCATCTGCCGCAGTACCAGTACTTTGGGGCGAGGTTTTGTGGATCCTTCCTTCTTCAGATCCTTGGTGACCCTGAACTGGCACTTTCCACATCCGAAATAATACTAACCCCAGTCGGTATCAATTCCACTCACTTTGATAGAAATCCTGAATTTTTCAATCTGCCAGGGATTACATTATTTAAGATAAGTAAATCTTTATCTCATCGCAAATTGTCCTTCAAATGAATGTGTTTACCTCAGTAGCATTTTGAACGTCATACACAGATTTCATTTCCAACGCCAGTCCACGCATCTTCCTGCTCCTTTATCCTTTGCTTCTCAGCCTCTTCATCATCCTCTTGGATGACAACAATCGCACCGTCATCTGGCAAGCTGAATGCATCAATAATAGGTTAGTCTTCTGATCACATATTGTGTAAATTACAAAACTATATCAAAATCTAGTTTAGACATATTACTAACCCAATCCTGAAAGCATCTGCTTCTTCGCAAATAGGGTTGATGATAAGCTTATATGCATCGTAAGCATTAGTGACTTGCAGATCACCTAATAAAAATGTTCAAGATCTCACAAATGTTTAAATGAAGTTGATTTGGCTGCAATCAGGTTGATAGAGTTTTGTATAAGCTTGCCTTGATAAAAGTTGAGTTTCGCAAATCTGATCAAACAAATTAATGTTTTCCCATTAGCTTTATTGCATGCCTCGTACAGTTGGTCAGCATAACCCGCCCAAAGACAGCAGTTGATTCTCTGATCACTGCAAAATTTATTAGGAAAATACTTAGATATAGGGAATAATACCATATGTTGAACCAATGATAAGTGTATATATACTTACTTAATGTCCCTAAGCACGCACTCTAGCTTCCGCTTTTCTTTCCCAAGTACAGGGGACAGTTTTGATCTCACTCACATCAAGAACCTGTCCAATGACATCTGGAAAACATGTACACAAGTTTCCAATAAAGATATGTAAGTTATTTCCTTTCATAAAGCAATTTAATAGTATACATCAGATATAGATTGTAATCACTCATAGATTACTTACCAATCAAGAAATTGTGATTCAAATCACCATCTAGGATCGTCTGGATAGGTACCAAAGAAAGGAACATGTCTTCTTCTTTGATGGTGCATTTGGTAACGATTGTGTTCATGGACAACCCAATCTTCCAGTTGCTTGGAGTTGGTCGAAATAGCCCAGTTGCAGGAGATACCTGAAAGTTCTCCAACACTTTCCATTCCCAACGACCAGAAGCTTTGATAAGCGGCCTATATCCTTCTTCTTGATTCCAGCATGCATTTTTGTACCCTGGAAATATAAGTATAGATGCTTATCATTATAACGAATACTGAAACATACGATTAGGATTGAAAAGAACATATAGGTTGTAAACTTACATGTTCATCCGCGAGAACCAGATCCATTGTTTCACCGGACATGCCGCTATACTGCCTCCAGGAGTGAATCACCTTAACGCGGACTTCCAAGTTGTCTTGAAAGGTCTCACATCAGAAAGCTTGGCGAAGGCGGAACCAATAGTCATTTTGCGAGGAGGAGGTAAAATAGATGTGTTTGATGTTTGATGACTTTTAATGTGACAGGCTACCTATTTATAATGTTTGGAGTTGTATCTTATGCCTAGGGCTTCGGAGATTTCAGAATTGCTGCCCACGGCATATTCTCTTGGATTACAAATCTGTTGAGGTTGGAAAGATTCCCTAATCTATTCGTTTATAAATGTAATAATATCTGCCATAATATCTCGTTTTAATTTCGTATAGCTTTTATTAACCGCAGGAGCTGGATATGGGATGTCTCTTTGATAATTAGCGAGGATCAAGGAATGTTTCGTATAGATAGTTATTAGCAGCCTGTTCTTAGGAATGTTTTCCTTCACTGTGGGATTTGAAAATGATTTGAAAAGATTTTGTATAAGTGAATTGACTTTGGTCGAGCAAAAAAAAATTAATGGTTGTGTCATTCGAAGATCCGCGTGTTTTTAAACTGGGTCGGGTCGGGTTTTTTTCTTAAACATGTTTCCAAACAGCCAAAATCCGTATTATGTCCTGGACAAAAATGCCCACTCTCAATTAAAAGTTTCTTTGGTATGCGTTGGGGGTAAATGGTCTTTTTAACAGAATCCGACCCAATTTCCTTCCGGGTTATACTTAAAAATTCGGATAATTGGGATAATTTCCTGTTTGGTAACAGGGACATGCTACCCTTGATTGCTTCCACATAGATGCATTGTTAATTTTGGGGATTTGTGAAAAGCCAATACAAAATCAGAAATGATTTTGGATTTCCCATTTCTTGCGTACAAACTACAAACAAAACCGTTCGAGGATTAAAAATTAAAGATTACATAAAACAAAACCAAATGATGAAAATATGGTTTACATGAAGACAGTTTTGTGGAATCTTCATCTCTTACCAGCTGCAAAAACATAAGCTCACAATCAGATTCAAATCTTTATAACTCACTTCAAACACATTAATATTTCCCTAAAACCTTAAGGATAAATTCCATCATAATTTCATAAAAGTGAAGATAGCGATCAAGAACACATAAAAAGAAATCGCGGCATGCATCTACCTTTGAGAAGCAAAAGTGGAATCATCTTCTTCTGGCTTGTTGCACTTGTGAGCCTCCTGCTTGACCACCTGGTTGTTCTTCAGCCATGTTTGTTGCTTGTGTCACGGCGTTCATCACCACGAGTCCCAGAGGTATCAAATACATCCACTGGAGAAGAGTATCATAAGAAACTTTACATGAAGAACTAAAAACACAATCTAAACTTTTTGTTCTTCATTATTGTATTACTCACATATTTCGCCCAGAATGATCTCTCTGGTGGTGGTTCAACTTCGCCCTCTACATTCTCACCACCAAGAATCTCCTCAGCGAATATTGGAGTTCTTAGAACAGTTCATGTAAAGGAAAAGGATAAGCCAAAGTATTAGTCACTGATATAGATTCGTGAAAAGTAAAAGCCTTTTGATGCAAAAAGAAACACAGCTCATGTTCCTACCTTGGTGCCTGCTCACTGCTCTTCAGAATTGTGTGAGAGTTGAAAGACCATTTTGCTGGCTACAGTAAGCGAAAGACAACGATATAAATTAGATTAAAAGTCAGAAACTCACACAAACATGTATCCTTCTTCTTCCTTCATAAATTCAGGGTTTCAGAGTTCAACTAGGACAAGAAATATGATAGAATCTCATATACATTCTTTGTTTGAGGGAACGATAAACTCGAATCAATCCAAAACAAAAGAATATTATTCCATTCAACCACACTACCCTTATATAGGACATGGAGAATAGAGAAAGGAAAATATAATGCGTAGAAAGTCAATCTGACTCACATAACATGGAAGCGCACACACACAAACACACGCCCCTTACTTCAAACCAGACCCAAAATCACATCATTGTGAAATGTTTACACTGATCCTAGGACCACAAAGGTCACATGTCTTATCTTGTTGAGATATTTCGTCATGAATATTACTATGACTTTCAATACTAGAAAAATAGTTGGCAGACAGAAAAATAATGATTCAGTCAAATCCTCTGCATTCTTAACTTATCGGTGCATCAGAAAACTAGAATAAAGACAAGGGAGGATAAGTCAATGTTTTACTTATCTCCGTTAACGTTTCGAAATAAAGAAGATAAAGATGGGATGTTAGTCTTCACTTACAAGTTTCAGCTGTCGAGGATATTGACACGCCCCAAGAGAGCCATAACTAACTGCCAAAATGTTTGCACCTTCCTGCATAGAGCAAGTTAGCTGACCGAAACGAACGAACACACATAGTCTTAAAATCATATTTCTAGTTCCAAAATATTGAGCTCAGAAACGTTTATTTACCATGTGTATAACGAAATGTTCATCCAAGCCATCCCGTGGTAGACATCTCTGTAATCAAACATGTATATTGTTTCAAACTCAGTCACATAATCTGACTGTAAAGCGATACAAGAAAAGAAAGAAACCAAATTTACAAAAGACTGTTATTCATTCAACTAATCTAAACGAGACTAATATATAGTATATACATTGTCTTTCTAAGCCTTGCCCTAGAAACAAACTTGTATGTGACACTAGAGAGCTACAAATCATATCATTCAGAACCAATTACACAAACAAGCGCTCAAATCTCAAATGATTATTACTTAGAAAGCTGTAACCTACTAGGATTTCAGGGAGTGAAACTAGATGAACAGAGCTTTAATTAATAATGTAACAGCAGCCACCAAGATTTCACAAAGAATGCGTCTTTTAGAATTGTTTAAATCAAGAAAAGCAAATGAAGACAGTAATCTACATAAAAAGGGTTGAAATTGACTTACAGCTCTCACTGATGCAACCACAAACTCTTTCCCTTGTGGACTGATCACATTAGATGGTACTCTAATCCTATAAAAGTCATCTCCTTTGAGCAGATTCTACAAATGGGTTTCAACAAAAATCATTATATCTCTCTATCCCACCCAATTCCCAAGTCAAATTGGAGAAGAAGAAAATAAAACTTTACTTTGAATGCATCTTTCTCTTCATCAGAAAAATCATTCCTTGAAAACCTCAACTTTGTTAATGTCTGCATCAACAAAGATCAAAGTTATTTGATTAGTGAAATTAAGCTTCTGCTACTACTAACAGCTATAGATCAGTTCACTAAACAACGAAGCTTTCTCGAAGAGAAGGATCGGAGAGAAAGAGAAGACCTTTCCGCCATGGCTCCAGGTTTTGAGACGAGCTGAGAAAGTACCGGCAGGAGAGAAATCAGAGTCTCCGAAGGCATGTTCGAGAGTGAATTGGACTTTGGAATCCAAATCGGGATCTGAGTATCTTTTACGGATAGTTGGAGTCTGTTGCTGTTGCGGAGGAGAAGCTGGGGAAGAGGTGTGAAATTCGGTTGATTGGGGTTTTGCTCCTTCGAGACCAAACTCATCGTCGTCAACGAGGAGCTCGTCTGATTGGAAACCAAAAGACGATGAGAAGATTAGAGTGGAAAAGAAGATGAAGATGAAAAGTGTGAGTTTCGCCATTTTTTTTGCCGGCGATCTCTAGTTTTTTTTTTTGTTGCAAAGTTTGACTCTTTAACAAAAGTTTATTGTTTGGCTCCGTGTTTTGAGTTTAATGTGCTGTGTGTTTTTTAGACAGCAACACCAACACCACAAATGTTTTTGCTTTGAGATTCATGTGCTGTGTGTTTTTTAGAGGTTTTCTAAATGTTTTATCTAAAAAAACTTCCTAAACTCTCAAAGCTCTAAGGTAATATATACAACTTGAGCACCAGACAATGATGGTAGATATAATGATGGTAAGGTTAAGAGATGTCGAAGGCGAACAAATGTGCAGTCTAGTAACCAATGGCGATGGCAATTGAGGCATAATAGGTTAATGATTATCAAGTAGTCAAAAACCATGAATGGGAAGTTACATCAAACTGAACATGGTGAGAGACACACACATCCATATGTCGGAGTCTATACAAGATCTGACACTGGACAAAAGTAGGAGAAGTATTCCATGCTTGTGTTTTGAAAGTTGAGCATAGGGAGAATTGTAAACCGATTAAAACTTAAGCCTGATTTAGGGCTGATTGGTTGTAGCTTTTTTTGCTCTACATTCTACGCTGTAGGTTCTTTTGATGTGACTAGAAATTGTCCCCCGCTATGCTGCAGGATTTGATGTTGAACAAGTTCTATTTGATGTTAGTGAAAATGGCTATTGGAATTTATTTTTGTTGCTTGTTATGTTATTATGTCGAACAAGTTCTAAATAAAGCAAAATAATTTATGTAAACCTCAACTTAAAGTCTCTAAACTCGAAAGATAATAGTGTGTCTTCAAATTTGAACGTTTCATATTTCTCCCGTTTTTGTAATCTTTCTTCTCCATTCCATTAGTTTCTCATTTCCTGATTTTCATCTTCTGCGGTTGTTTGCTTTTGGTTAGTTTAGTTGTTATAATATGAGTTATGCATAGTTATGGATTCATTTTGTAAATACATGTTTCTCTGATCAAGAAGAGAGTTTTAAAGTGATGAACATAATCAATACCTTAATTTCACCACGCACAGCAGCACAATCCCACCACGAACATCAACGCAATCTCTCAGCTTCTCGAACAAAGACATGGAAATATGTGAAACCACAAGAAGATTTCTCGTTTAGGATGAAGTTTTTCTTGTGAAGTGTAACTCTATTTCTCGATAAGAACATATATTTATCAACAAGATGTTTTATCGCCATATATTGGGATGCAAAGATTACTTATATATATATAAGTTTCAAACACTACTGCTAAATTTCAGATCGCTATCAAGTTCAAATACAGACGAATACGTTTGAAGAAGCACAATGAGAATGCAACATTGCAAGTATTAGAGCTAAATTGAGGAATCAATCAAATTAAAAAAACAAAC